CCCCTTCCCCTTCCCCTTCCCCTTCCCCTTCCTTTCTGTGAATAAAACAGGAAACTACAAGTTGAGAAGAGCAGGTTTCGCAGCCATGCCATGGTCTTCTGCTAAAGAGGACAGCTGAGCTGTGTGTTCTAAAGGAAAAATTTGCTGTTTCAGTGATACCTGGGTGTTCTTCTGTTGGATAACAGTGTGGTGGTGAATTTAATCCTGTATGAAGCAGGGGCATGGTCTTGCACTTGGGCTTGGGCTTCAGGAAGTTGGCCTTGCTATATGCTTCTCCTGAAGTACAGCGATAAAATAGTTCTAAACAGAATGCTCTGAAATGTGTGTCTGCTTTAAAATATCCATGTAATGTGTAAAAGGGATGATTATGGTAACAATGACGTTTCCATCACATCTTTCTGTAAGCAGCTTGGAATCTTCATGATGTGTTTTATTTGGAGTGATGGCAGATAAGAAGAGCATCAGAAAAATCCCCAGGCTTTCCTGAGGAAGTGTTAAATCAGCCACAGGATCAAGCTAAAAGGCAGTGTCCTTCATCACCTGATACCTGCAAAGCCCCAGGGTAAGTGCATGATTTGCAGAAAGCAGTTTATTTGCTGAGTAGGAATTCTACCAAATTTCCTAAAAGTTTGTTTTGAGTGAAGACTGAAGAAGCAAGCAGGATAACAGGCTGCAGAAACAGCTTGAGTATCACTGGCAAGTAAGAGTGCACTTGCCCCCTAATTAGTTGAATCTTGCTTGCAGAGTATAAGGCTTTGTTTCTGCAGATTGCTGAACATATTAATTACTATTTCATACCCCTTTCCACGCACATTTTTCTGTTGCAGCCCTTTTTGAAAAGCTTCAAAGATTAAACTGCAGTAGTATTACTGCAAAAGTGAATAATACAGATGCTGAGCGGGCCGGTGCAGTAAGAAAGGATTCTGCCCTGAGGGGAGGAGTGGGGAGCTCCAGTGTAACATATTGAATGTTTCAAGCGATGTGTCCACGATTAATTCGTTCATGAGGGGCTGTTGTGCAACAGGACACTGAACAGGTCAGTGAGTAAGCATTTGAATAGCCTTCCTTTAGCAGACTGATAATTATTCAGGGCTATTATAATTTTACAGGAGATATTTCACTGTATCAGCTAAACCAGTAGATATGAAAAGCATAAGCTCAAAAGGATTCATAAAAATCTAATGCTAGTAGAAATAGTTTCATCATTAAAAAATTGCACAAAAGTCTTTTTATTTTAAATTAAACACCTGTATGCTTTTTGTAACAATATTGCAGCTGGCATAATCAAAAGACAATAAAATAACTAATCAAAGGATAAAAAGAAGCTGTATAAATTCACCTCATAAATGAGGTGAGCGGACTAATTTTCTGAAGGGTTTGTTTTTAAAACTGATGTGATATTTGATTCTGGCTTTCAGTATGGCTTCTAATTTGGAATCCTCTCTCCTAGCATGAACAATAGCAAATCAGTACCTCCAGTTGTGTTTGACTTGTTACCTTTGGCACAAAGCTTCAGCATCTCTTTTTATCTTTAAATATACAAGCCTTTTAGAGTGAGGATGTGCCTTTCTGTTTTCCAGTAAGAGTTGAGGACAGCTTCCTTTAGTCTCTGGGTTTACAATGACAAAGCTCAGCATAGCTGGCTGAGGCAAAATTGCATCAAATCCTGAACATTTTGCAATCTAAAGTCCAGAATTCAAGTCCAGCCACTGCCACTCGGGGTAAGCTCATTCCTTCTGGCCTAATCAATGCTTAGCAAATAAAATCTGGCTGTTCAAAAGATTGAGGACATGATAAACTCAGATGCTTGCCCATATCACAGTGTGGATGTTTAAAGAAGACTGAGTTGTTCATTAACATTGATAGCCTTTAAAAGAAATCCTTCCTTGTGTCTAAGCTTGATTAAGGCCTCTTGCCTCTCACACTGCACTGTCTAAGGGTGAGCAAATGTAAAGTAATCAGGGCTGATATCCTAGTTTCTGCTCTGGGGAAAAAAAACCATTTTCTTTATGAGCTTTGAAATCTCACAGTGGCAACAGTTGGTGAGTGTTTGTATGAAATGTGCAGTGGTCTCTGCAGTGCTCATTTGTTCCTCTGAGCCCCTGTCTCCTGGAATTTCTCACATGGAGAAGTTATCTGCTCTTTAAACAAGAAAATGTAAATTAATGTCTTGTAGGAAACGTGCTGAATAAGGATCTCCTACAGACCTAGTTCTGTATGTAGGCTGAGACAGTCCCTGGACTCGAGCCATTCATTTTTCTCTCCGCAGTCAAGAACATTCATTATAGCCTACGTAGCTTTACTGAAGTCTACCAGCTTTGTTTGCAGTAAAGATTCCAGCCTTTTAGAGACTTCGATATCTTTTCTGCTATGCTATCTTGATATAGATACCAACTCTAATGCTTCCAATGAGAAAAATGTGTTTTAGCCATCCTTTCACCAGATCACAGAATCTTCCTTGCTAGATATGGAGCAGTACAGCAAAGAATTTTGACTAGTCTGGACTCTTATCATTTTTGTGTTAAGTAAATGGGTTGGGTAAGAGGAGAAGGCAGTTTCCCTCATCAGTTTCCCAATATTTATAAAATGTATGTCAGGAACAATCTCTGTGCTCTCTGTACAGATCATCTAACTCTCACTGGGATGCGTGATGTGCGGGAGGTTTTTTATCTCATTCCCTCAGGACCCCCACTGCCATTATTTTTTTCAAGGCAAAAAAACTAATTCATCCCTTAAGCAGCCACTTCAGAGCTCATGGACAAATTATGCAGAAGAACAAGCAGCTTTTAGCTGTCTTCCTTCTCATCTGTGCTTTCCAAAAGAGAATAATCATAGAAACCATAAGGTCATGGTTGAGCCCTTTATAGTTGTGTGTGTTATATTAAAACAGTAAATCACTCTCATGAGTGAGCTTTTTCTGTGTGGAAGCTGTTGGGTAATTTAGTCCAAAGTCAGCTGAACATCTCTAGTTACTTCAGAGATAGTGTGTCCTACAGATGGTTTCAATTAATACTCGTTCAGGGCTGTCTAAAGCAAGTAGCCAGTCTGATTGTTTTGTAGGGGTTAGTTAGAAATATCTCTATATATGCACATGAAATGTGACCTTCAGACCTGTTGTAGTCTGCAGGGTAATACCCCCAACATGTGTTGGCATGGGGTTTTAATTTATGTTCTCTCTTCACCTTTTTTATCCCATATTGGAAGTGGGCACAATACCTGGGGCTTTTGTGTGACTGTCAGCCCAGAACCTGTGCATCTGTTTGAGGGAAAAAAAACCAGTAATCTGTGTTAAGCAGTTATGGATTTTACAGAGAGTATTTTCAGTTCAAAGCCTGGCTCAGGCCAATTCTTGTTCTTCAAATGAGCAGGCATTTAGGAATAGCACTTAAACATGAACATGGTTTAGGATCTTCACTGGCTGGAAGAAATTCTCCAACAGGGAGAAGTAGCAGGGCCTTTTTAGTTAAACCAGTATTGGAAGTAAATGTGGTTTATTATTCGCACGATAAAGTTGTTTCTTAATAAGTGAATATGAAATAAAGTGAATGTATTGAAGAAAAGACAGGCTGTAATAATATATTGAGGTGATCTATGAAAACAAATGGTTTGTAATACATATTAAAGGACAAGACATGCATAGGACTAAACACCATAAATACATAGAATTTGATAATAATGTGAGAATGAGAATCTATATATTTCACAGAATAATAATCACAGAATAGCTAAATCATACACAATCAGTGAATCAATGGAAATGTTCCTATAAATTACACTTTTTACAGAGAGAGACTGTTTAATCTGGTGACATTTAATAAAGTGTATTCTTGGAATCAAGCAGGCTATGGAACAGCTCAGTAGCAGCATTGATGAGGACGCAGTTTCATCTCTGTTGCCTTGCTTCTTTCAGCAGAGCTGCAGTTAGTTCCCACTGGCCTGACTGGGCTGGGCTCAAGATCCTTGCTTCAAGAAAGCTCTAAATATCTTCTCTTACAAGCACTGCATTCACCTGTGATGGAAGCAGAAACACACACATATGTTATGAATTTGCTGCTTCTTGGCAAAAATTTGCACTCCTAAAGAGTTCACCATGTTGCAATAAAGCTGGAGAACAAAGAAATTGCTCTTTGCCCGCATATAAGACATGCGTAGTCCCCAGTGAGGAGTTAACATTTGGGGAGCACAGGAGGAGCTCTGCTGCTGGCAACATCTGCCTGGCATGTGCAGTCACATCCTTCACAGCTGAGTTACCTTTCATGGGCATTTCTTGCAATGAAACTGGAAGAAATAATTGTTCTTACGTGTCCTAAAAAAGTTGATCTCTTTTCTTTAGCTGGCAGGGGAAGTGGATGGCTCTCAGGTTTACAGAATTAGTAAGCAGGGACTTCCAGAAGCATCTAATTTTGAAGTTCTTTAGCCGTCGATTTTTCCATGCTGTGATTCTCTTTCTTATTCCTACTGTTTCCATCATTGCTGCCATTTATAGACTGGTGCATAGCCAGCAAGGAGCCTGGCTGAATTGTCCATCTGTCTACACTTTTGCTTGGACTCAAAAGGGTTTGGATCCACAGCTTAAAACTTGCAGTCAGTTCCCTTTTAAACCCTTCTTTAGGAAAATCACACAGGTGAGGGAATCATGCATTAAAGAAAACACGTGCATCATAATTCTTTGTCTGTAAACTTCCTGGACACTACTCAGTATTAGTATTTAGGATGAGACCTCTTAAAAAGTCATTCTCTTTTCAGCTTCTGTTGGCTAAAGTACTGCAACTCCTTTTCTAACGCCCCCTTCTGTCAATTACTTATGTAAGGAGTGGGTGTGCATTTAAAAATTTCTAGTGGAAACTGCAGACCAGTTTTAAATAGTGGGAAAAATAATAATAAAGCATAACTCCTCAACAGAGTTTCACATCATTTCACGCTACCACACAGGGATGGTCATTCCCAGACACTAGCAACTTGTTACACCTCAGTATGTGGCATGGTAGATGTAGTATTATAAAATATACTTGGGTTTATTCTGAAAGTAAGTTTGCATATACCTACAGTTCAATTTTAATGTCTTTGTGTTGGGTAATTTTCTTTGCAAGAAGAGACATTTCCCTGATGTTCTGTGGATTCAAACTGAAGATCTTTCTCTTGCCACTTAACTTGCTGAGTGATCTGCTGTGAACTTTTGGATCTCACAGGACACTGGGTCTTTTCCTTTCCTAATTACAGTTTCTATGACTTGCTTGAGGAGATACTTGTGAATGGATGAATGCAACTATGTCTCAGAAATATTTCTTTTGCAGAGGGAGGAAAGATTAATTTGTTCTACTAGGAAAAATGGGACTTTCTCCTCTTCTGTAACATCAATGATAAAATCCTTTGAGAGAGTGGGGAAATATTACTTAGGAAGTCTGCAATTTCAAGAATTACCTCTGATCAAACTCTTCCTTGAGCTCTTGAAATATGTTCCAAGTTTGCAGAATTAGCAAGATGGCAGTTCAGAAAGTTCTTGCAGCTCTCATGTTTGTAATTCTTTATTTTTTTTAGTTTTCATAATTTTACTGGGTGTACTTACTCTTGAACTGAGAAGCAGAATTACTAAGTGAACACTGCTTCTTAGATCCGTGCTTAATTCTAACATGCAAGGTAAAATCATCCCTGGGGTGACCTCTTCTCTTAAATTTTAGTTCTAGATCTTCACACTGTTGTATGCAGGTCTTTGCTGCAAAGGAGAAAAATACTCTGCTAATAGGAGGCATATTGCTGCCTGTGGACAAAAAGCCAAAGTCCCTCCTTGGCAAAATGAGGAGATATTATGGCAAAATGGGAAGCTGACAGTGTTTTGACAGGTGAAAACACAAATCCTGTATGAGATCCATCTCAGGGAAGGCAGATGATCTGCCTCAGTTCTGAATGAATGGATGTTTTCTAAAGCATCTGAGGAGCATTCCAGTGAGTGTCCACTGCTTGTTCTCCTAATTGTGTGCAGTTTAATTTGCCAAAGGTGGGTGAAGGATGAGCTGTGCTTTCTGGGTTTTTTAGTCCAAAACCTGGAATTCTCTGGAGCACTGGCAGCTTGTTTGTTGAATCATTCACTTGTGTACAGGCAGAGCTCAAACCTGTGGCCATTTTCCATGACAAAGAAGCCAGAGACTGTTGTTAAATCTCCTGCTCAGTCTTAGAGTAAAATTTTCTGTTGTCTTATGAGTACCGGGTTTTTTTTTGCCTGAAGGAGAAAAGTGTTCTAACTACTGTAAAGTATATTCCCACCAGTCCTGGTACACTTAGAACAGAGGTGTAGCTGCCTCTGTAATGTAAATGCCATACATTTTATGAACATGAAATTTTTTTTCACTGACTATAGGAAAAATGGCTAAGCATGCTCTTGTGGCTAAGAATGAGATTAGAAACATGGATATCTAAACTGCTGTATTTATGTTTTATTTTTTTGTTGAGTTATTCTTGCTGATTCAATTTCTTCATTTATGAATAAGAAAAAAATTGACCTTGCCTAATCTCTCCATATATGAAAATTGTATATCCAAAGAAATATGAAATAATAAAAGCACGTCAATCAGTAAATATCCTTTTGTATGAAAGAAAGATTAAGAAAAACAAGGGTTGATATATTTTTCTTTTCTTTTTAGCTATTGCAAACTAATTTTGATTTATAAATAGTAATACCTATCTTAAGTACTGATTTGTTAATTCTGGTATTTAAATTCATAGTTCAATCAACTCAATGCATTTGAGAAACCTCCCATCCAGTTTTAATTACCATCACTGTGTTTCTGGTGAGCTATCCTCATCCTAGCACCATGAACTGGGACTAGGTTCCCCTCCTGCCTTGCTGCAAATCCTGACAGACTGTGCAAATTGCAGGTCACTGTCATTTTGTTCTCTAAGGTGGCTGGGTCAGCTGTTCTTTGCCTCTCTTCCTGTCAAGGTTGGCTTGGAGGTGCTTTCAGACACTGACTAGTGCTTTTCTGATTGCCAGGGACTGTCAGAAGCCACTCCAAGGGCTGTTGTGTGTTTGGTTCATGGTTTGTCACGCTAAACCATACCTTAAATCTCCAGTTTGGCCCTTTCAGTCTCAGCATCAGGCAGTTTCACAGTGGGTTTTATACCCAGCTTCTCGCCTTGTGAAGCTGTAGACTTTACGGCTGCAATCAAGAAGTAATCATCCTGTGGAGACAACCAGAAAAAGAAAAGAAAAAAAAAAAATTGTAAATAAGCAGCTCTTAAATTGTTCTGACGTACATGGATGTCTGCCACAGCTTTTGGTAAATTGTGATATAGGACCTGCAAAAAAGGGAAGCAAGACACATTCCCATTTTCCCTCTGACATGGCTGTAGGCTGGTGGTGAACAAAGCCTTTGCCTCTGCCCCTTCAGGGTGACATCTGTGTGCTAAAGAAAGCATATTTAATGATTCAGTAGTTGGAAATTCCCCTTAAATATCCTCCAGGTTATACCTTGTATTTGAGAGAGACTCGAATATGTGCTGAATACTGATTATTCCTGATCTCTTACATGGCTCAGGATTTACTACCTGGCTATGAGAAATGAGTCATATCTTACAGAAAATAATTTTTGGTCTAACTGATCATCTGTGACCAGGCATGTCTTATAGTCTATTTTAGATTTTTTTTTTTTTTTAATTATTTACTGCAGATTGTTTCAGTGGTAATTATGTAGTCCAGTAGATGTAGTAAAATGAAAAATATTCTAGATGGAATTGAATACTCTTTGCATTGCACTAATTTGCTTTAGGGAAAGAACACAGGTTTTGGGACCTGTTTCTTCCTTTGCTTGCTCTAAAAAGCAAAGAATGTGAGATACACTGATAGGCTGCTAATTCACATTTTATACTGAAATTGGAAAATTGTCTGCGCTTAGGGATGGATAATATCTTCTTTCATGCAAACCTGAAATAAGGTGGGAAATGGAGTGCTGGAAGGCTGGGGAAAACTCTGGATAATTTTTGTTTTGTTTCCTGGAGGACAAGGCAACTTCACAAAGGTGCTTAATATTATCTGTGTTACAAATGCTAGCAGACATCACCAGCTGTCATGGATGGAAGTTCTATTTACAGGAATCTAAGCATCAAATGGATATGAAGAGTGCACCTGAGAAGTAACCAGTGTTACCCCTTTTGGAGCACAGTGGTAGGATCATGGAAGGAAAACTGCACTGCTTTATTCCTGTGTGACCCTTGGATCAAACAGAGAATTTTAACCTCTGAGGTAGAAAATTTTGCATTTTCATGCCAACGCCATGACTTATGATAATTTCAATGTGTAAAGTTGAAATATGTACATTCTGAGTGAAATGCTTGCAGTCACTGTCTCATGATGTTTCTTTTTGTTCCGTGTGTGTTGTAGATAAATAGTGTTGACTGGGCAGTAATTGCTTTCCTTATAAACTTGAATTTAGTTTTCATTTAGCTTTGGAGTAAAAGGAAATTGCTTTTTTTTTTTTTTTAATATATTAATATTGTTTCCCTTTGTTATTTGGGAAAGAATGCAATAACTATCTCCCAGAAAATAAGTTGAGTCATGAGCAAACCACTTACCTGAAGCAAGAATGAGGTGAAAAGACAGGGTCATGGTGCTGCTCAGGAATGGTTCTTTCCTGTGCCTTTTTCCTAAAGAAAAATTAAGCTAAAAGCTAAATTATCCTCCTGAGAATACCTGCATCGGGCTGTCCATACAACTGACTTTTGACCAGACCCTCAGGTCTTCATCAGGAAAAATATTTTGTTGAAGTAGTTTTGGACCACTTCTAATGAAAGCAGTAATTAATTTCACAGATACAAAAAATTAATGGCAAGACAAAACTTAGGAGCTAAGCATCTGTGCTGAAAATAATAAAATAGTGCTGAGTCTATAGATCAGCAGGGCTTCAAGGCTCTAGTTCCTGGGATTCACCTGAGAGCTCTCCAACACTTGTACAGTTACAGATTTGAAAATTATGTGAGAACACAATCTCTATAAACAGAAGGACTACCAAGGAGATGTGTATCTGAAAATGTAAGTGTTGACTTTGAAATATCTGAAGTGTTTTAATGAGGAAGGCTTTTAGAATGCATATGACATCTTCACTGTTTGGTTCTAATCACGTTGAATCTGGTGATACAAGCTGGATTTCTTCCACATGCTAAAGAGTTCTGGTTGTGTATCTGCAGTTCGGGTCGTCTTCTCACTGTAGGTTTAGCTTCGGGTTGAATGGAAGCTTATTGCTGTCTAAAAACAGCCCAGCTTGGGAAAAGCCTGCTTGCAAACATGAGAAAGTAACAAAATGTGCTAATTGGTTTCTTAGGAAAAAAGCACCAGCAGTGAAACTTTTCACACGGAGTATTTTGCCAGGAAGTGTGTCAGTGTAATACACAAACCTACACTCTCCGCATCATCTGTGAATGGGGAGTTTTCACGGGGGTGGGGAGAAACCTCTGTCCCTTGCCCTCAGTCCCTTGAAACACAGTATGAGCCCCTCTAGGGCTTTTTCTTCCCACCCCCGCCTCTCTTTTCATACGATGGGGCAGTCGCTCTCCATTGTTGATGGCTCCTGCGCTTATCGCGCCAGGACTGGGCAGATAAGCTATGTTATGTCAAAGCTTGCTGTAAATACTTTCGGGCGCTTACACTCAACTGAGGAAATACTGAAAACATTATTGCAGAAACCGTGTGGGAGATGTTTGGTTTCACACCAAAACAGGCCAATTTCTCTTTCTGCTTAGTTTTTGACGGCTTAAGGTGAGGGTGGAAGAAATGAACTGGAGAACTGCAGAGCAGGCGAGTCTGAAGCGCGGGAGACCAGGTGAGGAGGGCGGCGGCACCGGGGTAGCGGGGGCTCCGTGCAGCGCGGTGTCCCGGAGCAGCGCGGTGTCCCGGAGCAGCCCGGTGTCCTGGAGCAGCGCGGTGTCCCGGAGCAGCCCGGTGTCCTGGAGCAGCCCGGTGTCCCGGAGCAGCCCGGTGTCTCGGTGCGGGCCGGGGTGCGATACAGCCCCGGGAGCNAGCCCCGGCGCCTCCTGCGCTCCCCTTCCCCGCTCTAAACTGCGGCTTCGGGACGCTCTGTGAGCGTGAGGCTGCGAGAAGCGCCTGGCGGATGGCAGCGGGCTTGGGACAGCTTCACTGAGGCATGAACACGGTGCGCACACACGCAGGGATGGTCCGGGGCTCGCTCCCTCAAATGTGAGAGTGTGTGTGTGTATGTATGCGTGCTCTTTCTGGGAAGAGAGGGTGGCATCTGTTTCTTCTTGTTTAAAATAATTACCCTGTGTGCGCGGCTTTGCTGAATTCAAAAGAGCGGGCTCGGCTGTGGGGCTAGGGGAAACCGTGGGAAGAGTGCTTGGTAACTTGGAGCAGGATGATGGATTCTGCTGTCGGGTAACACTTGGAGAGGAGACTTGAGGAAGGGCTCTCCAGGGCAGGGTCATTGTCCCAGAGAACTTCCCTGAGAGGACGGCATGGTTGAGCCTCCCAAGGAAGATCGCCTGTGTGCGCCCATGGAGGCTGCTGGGATTCGGTGTGGGACATCTGCTGTCGCTGTGTTTTGGGAAGGGCATCCCTTTGTTCCTCGAAGTGGCCAGACTCCCTGCTGGAAAACAATGGCCTTCCTTAGCAGAGCCACAGGGAGCGGGGCTGGCGGCGCAGTTACCAAGTGGTCCAGTGCTTGCCTTGCCCACGGTACCTCTGTGCTCACGCGTCCGTGCTCACACGTGCTGTTTGCTTTTGCCGGTAATTTAAAGCTTTGAAATTTCAGACCATGTCATTGAATCACTTGCTGTGTATTTAGGACAGCTATTCTAGGGGACAAATGTAACAGTAACGAAAAAAAAGCTAGCTACTCTTGAAATTTATGTCAGAGAAACTATTTAAACTATATCCAGTTGGAAATGATCACTGGCTTAAAGGTCAGGTAAAACTCCTGACTTTGCGATTTTTGTGTCGAATCATGAGCCTTCCATATCCGTCTGTCCTATTGTTAATTGTGAATTAAGGCTGGCAACAAGCTGCCCATCCTTCCCTGGATGAATCATCACTTTGTCAAGCTCTGTGTCAAAAACAAGGCATTCCCCAAAAGTGTGCAGTGTTAGAGAGCAGAAATAGTCCAACCCATCTGTTAAAGTAAAGTTGAGTCCCTGGCTGATTTTAAACATATGAAAAGTAATGACATTCTTCTCATCACGTGCTTCTATTTCCAGTTGTCCCAGGCCTGAGTTTAAGAATGTCTTCAATTTAGTGCTTAATGCAATGTGCTGCCTCTGGCTTAATTTTGTGTGAAGGTGTAAGGGTTGGAGCATTCCCATTCTTCCCAAAGTAAAATAAAGTGGTCACTGCTTATGTTGGCTTGTAGCAGTTACTGGCATGTTAGGTTGCCACAAGTTCCTCCATGTCCTTAGGATGTTTCTGAAACACATATGTGGTGTTGGATATCTAAAAGGCTTCTGGTGTTCCTTATGAGCACCATAGTCAGATTGATGTGAAGGTGAAAGGACTCATGAAAGTATCTTAAATCACAGAAGCTTGTCTTTTTATCTGCCTGGGGGTTTATTGTTTTTGGTTTTGGTTGGTTTTTTTTTTCCTTAATTTTTTTTGGTTATACACTTAGTTAAATCACACCTGTGGGGAGGAACTCTTGTGTGGAAATGATGACAGGGGCCAGTAGTTTAGCTCTGTTGTGTTAGCCCTTTCACACATTGTGCAAGACTTGATCTAATTTGCATTTAGAAGGGCAAATGTACATTGCAAGCCTACTAGTGCTTCTGGGGGAAGGGAAAATAAAAGTCTGGCGAATGAGGAGAGGAAGTGGGAGAGAGCAATTGGAAACATAAGCCATTAATTTTTCCCACTGTGCAGTCTTAAGAAACTGCTGGCAACATACTGGAGATACTCTGCCTCATGGAAGTGTCAGGGACTTGCTTCACATGATTCTCTGAGATCATCTGGCTTCCCTGAGCTCTGTGGGAACAGAAATTCCTCATGTTGGAGTCTGATCTCATCTTCCTCCGGCAGCAGTAGTAGCAGCAGCTTGGGAATTGGAGAGGAAGGTGAAGAAAGTGCCAGTGGGACAGTTTGGAGAAAAGTTTAGTTCTGGTGTAGGCCAAGCTTGGACACTGTTTCCTCCTTTCATTTGCGTTGTGTGGTCAGAGCTGGGATAAATGCTGACATATCCACTGAAGTTCAGTGCCCTTTCAGACTGCTGAGCTTACTTAGCACAGCCCATGTATGAGACTGTCCTATAAATCTTATATTTCATTCATCTTTTTTTACTGTACTAATGAACAGCAAACTGAAATGGAAAGTAGTGACTGTATGCATCAAGCTTGGGGAATTTCCTGAGTTTGATTAAAGACAAAAATAAAGGGTTTTTCCCTCCCTTATAGCTATGTACATAGTCTATTAAATTCTCAGAGCCTTCTAAGTAGCCTCTTCTGTTTGTTGTGAGACTACTGGCAAAAATTTTAGGAAGGCTGAAGTAGCAATGACCAGCCCTGGAGTCTGTAACTTGATCTACAGCTTTTTCTCTTCAACTGGGAAAGGAAGTAACAGCTCTTGTTACACCCTTATGTAACCTCTCCATTCATATCCTCCAAAAAAGAAGGAAACCAGAGTTTGATTTCTGGTGTATAAGCTAACATCAAGGCATGCTTTGTCATAAAGAAACAGTAAAGAATAACATTATTTTTCTTCTGTTTTGCAGTTCCCAGAATGAAAAAAAATCCCCAAAACTTACAACGCGTTCAAAAGTTAAATATTTTGATTTTGCACTGATGGGATAGTGGAAATCTCTGCAACTCTTTGTCATATGCTGTGAAGCAGCTGTTAAAGAGGATACTGGAACTGCAACAAGGGTCTTTTTGTGAATCTTTCCTGGTCTATTTGAGCATTAGTCTCAAAACATTGATCCTTTGCAGTTGTGCCCCAGTTTGCTTGTGGTTTGGGAAAGCTTGGGTCTTTTGGTGTGTATTACTCTAGATTTCGGTTCTAAACAGTGTGGAAATCAGGATCTTTTTTGTTTGGTTTGTTTTGATTTTTTGTTTCCTGATAGCGGCATAACTTTTAGAGAAGACTGTACAGAAAGTTAATATTTTTGTCTCTCCCAACTCCATTTTACTTGGAAATTTCCCATTTGGTATCACCAATTAAGCTTCTATCCATTTCTTGATATATATATTTTAAGTCTGATAGTGAAGTCACTGTGGGGTTGAGACAGTTTCAGTGAGAAAGACTAATACTTAAAAATACAGTTTCAGAGGCGAAGAAGAATTATCAAGTCCTCTTTCCAGATGCAAACTGGTTGGGGAATTCTCCTATGTAGACTGTACAGCAGGAGTTACAGACTCCAGAGGCCAGAACAACATCTTTTTTCCAGTGCTCCAGCTTTTGAGAGGTAAGCAATCAAGAGGTGGTCTCCAGCCTAAGTGACCAAATTTAACACTTCAGCAGACAAGCTGAAGGCTCAAGATAAGGAATCCAAATATCCAGAGTCCCAAGGAGTGAGGGTGAGAAATGTTTACTGTCACTAAGATTTTCTTTCCTTTGCAGGGGTGGGGAGTGGGTGTATCTTTGGCTTAGGTAACTGCCTTGTCTCTGGCTTTGTGAAGTGCTGCCCTGAAATTGCTTCTTCGGTGTGGGTGTACTAGTAAACTTTTCCTTGTTCTCCCTGTCTTGGAGAGGCAGCAGCCCTTCCAAGGGTCTTATATTGGCAGAAGCCTTTATGTTGTTGGGCAGGGGGACCATGAGAGCAGAAGACTCCAGGAGAAAAGTAAGAGCATATATCAAGGAGAAAAAGAGGAATAGGTTGTGAGGAATAGGTGCTGAGTAACGGAAGTGTTGGTGGGTGTTGTCCTATCAGAAGTGCTTGTTGTGGATTTCTTTATTTTCTAAATGGAGGCAGCAAGGAAAGACTCCTTTTTTCCTACTGTAAGCAGAAACCAGTTTTTGAAAGTCTGTGACCACAGCCTGGTCAACACTGGTACAAGTTTCCTGGGCCCACAAATATGTGTTGTATGTCAGCTCTATTGCTGTTTGCTTTATGCTTCCTTTTCTGTAATATTCTATAATTTTTATAGCTTGTACACTCTAAAGTGCTACTGGGGGTACTTTGAATTGCAATAAGAGTACAAATATAAAATTACAAATAAGAATAGTTAAACTGTAGGTTTTGCCACAATGGGAAAAAAGAAATAGCAACCCATGACATCCTGAAATGTTTTGTCACACCCTGAGAAGCTTCTACTCTTTTATATGCATTTTCTTGATGGAGTCTGTTCTCCTTTTGTCTACAAGTGTGTACTGGTGTTTGAAGATCTTTAAAAAGATTGGGCCTTAAGGTAACCATCAGTTTTTATGCACAGTGGAGCTTATGCAGTGTCCTGATACTGTGCTTAAATCCTCACCAGCAACCTCAGAAATGAGGAAACTGCTGGGTGATGAAGTGTTGAATTCTGTATCTTGGGGAAAGCACTAGCAAAGAAAGTTACACTTACTCTCTGTGTTTTAATGCCTTTGTGTTAAAACAATTTGAAGCACAATTAATGGTATCCTTTCAGATCAAAGAGGTATCCTTAAAGTCCTTATTGCATAAGGACTGCAATGAGAAGTCAGCCCTGCTTTTAGGAGAGCTGTTAAAAGGAGTGAGTTGCTATTAATCCTCTCCACTGTTCCTCTATGGAAGCAAATAAACAACTTAACATAGAGACACTGATGAAGAGATGAAGTGCCATTTTTTCTGGGTCTCTAGGAACCAGTTCACTGTCCACTTAATAGCTTGGCTAGATCTTCATGTCTGAGGGCTGAGAAAAAAAGCTTCTC